TAAAACCCTCCCTGGTCATTTGTCCAAGTTTCCACTTTTTGTAAGCTTCCTTTTTGTGCTTAAGTTCACCAAGGATTTCCCCTGTAAGCCAATCCGGTCTCCTACCAGGTTTGCCTCTCTTGCTACGCGTCGGGATGGTTTCTTTCTGTGCCTTCAATAATGCTTCTTTAAAATACTGCCAGCTGTCCTGGACTCCTTTCCCCTTCATGTTAGCATCCCAGGGGATTCTGCCCATCAGATCTCTGAGGGAGTCAAAATCTGCTTTTTTGAAGTCCAAGGTGTGTATTTTACTACTCTCTTTTCTTCCTTTGGTCAGGATCCTGAAATCTACCATCTCATGATCGCTGCTTCCCAGCTTGTCACCCAGCTGTACTTCCCCTATTAGTTCCTCCCTGTTTGTGAGCAGAAGGTCAAGCTGCGCACGGCCCCTGGTGGGATCCTTCAGCACTTGTACCAAGAAGTTATCCCCAACATTCTCCAAAAACTTCCTGCAGTGCCTGTGTACTGCTGTATTGGTTTCCCAACAGATGTATCTCTGTCCCCTCACAGGAATGCTTAGAAGGCCCAGACATAGTCACTCATTCAGCTTGGACACTTACTAACATTGCAGGGAGTTACCTACATTTAACATTCCACACAGAGCTCCCTGCATGGTGTGTATAGACCCCGCCCCAATATGCAGGCCCCTGGGTGGGCAGAGCACGATGCCAAAGATAAATGGCTCCGCAGCACATTGTCAGGGTTCCATTGCTGCTGTAGCTCTGCGAGGTGGTGAAGTGAGCACCAGGCTGACAGGCCCAGTTAGTTACCAGCTCTTCAAAGCATCCAGCAGCAGGGCACTAGCTGCCAGGGGAATAACAGAGCAAGCACAGGAGCAGTTTGGGCAGCCAAGGTGCTGTCCGAAGGGGTCATGGCCCTAGGCCAGCTTGCCCAGATGGCATTGGCCTGAGACCTGGGGAAGGCATGCCAGGGGAACAGCAGTGAGGTGAATACCTGTCATGATTCTCAGTGCTGGCAATAGGCCGGGGGTGGGTGGGAATGTTATGGCCTGGTCTCATGCTCATAAAGAACAAAGAACCATAATCACTTGTAGCAGGTTTTATTACATACCTTAAAAATTCCCACCTGTCTCCCACGTTCCACTATGGCCTGCAGATTTGTTTGTGATAAAGCCTTTGTCTTTCCTTCCATTGGGTAGTGAAGGGGAAGTTACTTAGCTTAATGATTTAAATCTTCATCAGCCCCAGGTATCCTTTAATGTACATGGTTGGGGCAGAAATATACACCCCTAGAAATAAGGGAGGATTCAATTCTGGTCCTCTGTTTTCCTCTCCAGAAAAGCCTGCATTGCCTCTCTTGAATAATAGCGAATAACTGTAATAATACCAACACCCTTCTGCACTTCCAAAGCTGTCTTCGCCTGACAGCCTCAAAGTGCTTTATAACAGTCAGCTCCCACTGTAGGGGTAGAGCAGTACAATGCTGATAAAGCCTGTCTCTTATCCTGCTGTCCATCTCAAAGCGCTGACATATTTAGCCTCCCTTGCTCCATCCCACAGATGGGAAACTGAGACAGAGAGATTGAATGACCCAGGGGCAGAGCAGGGAACTGCACTCGCAACTTCTCTATTGTAAGCCACTGTCCTCACCACTGGGCCATCTGCCTCACTTGGGCACAGAGCAGTTAAGCAGCTTGCTACACACCACCAGGAAATTAGTGGCAGATGGAAATGAAATCCACGTGTCATAGCCCCCTCTTCTCTGGCATTGAGCCTGCTTTCCTGCACAGCGTGTTCCGTGCAGCAATGGTGTGTAGAGGACAGAGCTCAGGGGCAGTAATGTCATGTTAGAAGGAGAACAGGCAGCTCCACATGTCCAGTAGGAGGCTGTTTGAATGGAAGAACAGTAAATGCTTGCAATAGGTCATTAGGTGCTGGCTTGGATGGACCTTGAGGTGCTGTCCTGGGGGCACCAGTGAATTAAAAGAGATGAACCTAAATGAGCCAAATGTCCTTTTTAGACCTAAAATGTTTCCGTATGTAACCCTGGTCCTTGTAGAAACTCTGTCGCTTGGAACTGGTCCCCTATTGGAACAGGCCTCTGCCTCCAGCCCTCACAGTCATTATGTTCCAGAGGAAGGTGAAGGAAATATCATGGTGCCTGGATTGTGGCGCCACAGTGTGTGAATTTTAGGGGCCAGTTATGTTCTGCTGTCAGTCAGGAGTAGCAGAGGTTCACCTGTCATTGCCATGGCAACCAAGGTGAATTTAATCTGAACAGTGTGAATAACCTCCAAACAGTAAGACCAGTGAGGCTGTGGGATAACTCCACGAGGGCGTGAAAACAGTGACATCTCATCTCACTGGGACAGCCAAACCAGCAAGAGGTTGGCCAGCTGGGGCTGGGGATCACCATCTAATCTGCCACCAGACCAGGTAAGTAGCCCCTCTTCCACAAACCCTTTCCCCCTCCTGGCCCTTGGCCACAGCGCTGGGGGGCGGGGGGGGAGAAAACCCTGCAGGACAGGAGGGAAAGACCCCTGCCAGCTAGGGAGGGGGAAGGAGAGAGAAGACACATGTCAGTTGCGGGGTGGGGGAGAGGAGGCTCCTGCCAGCCAGGGGGTCTGGGGGGAAGGAGAAAAGGCCTCTGGAGGGGCTGGGGAGAGAGAGAAGGCCCTTTCTGCAAGGGGGACCGGGAGTCTGGCTGAGGGGACAGAGAAAGCCCTTCCAGATGGTACACCCTGGCCTGAGCCCCTCCTCAGTCCTCACTCTCACCCCCCATACCCACACACATCCCCAGGCCCCTGCCCTGAGCCCCTCCTTAACTCCCCACCCTGACTCCCACCCTTAGCCTCCTGCCCTACCACCCCCCTCCCCAGCTTCCCCAAGGCCCTGCCTTGACTCCTGCACCCACCCTCCCTCCTCCCCCTCACTGCCAGCCTGCTGCCTGAAGGAGCCGGGCAATGCCGGGTAAGTCTAATGTTGAAAATATACTATGAAGTCATGTCTGACGTGCAATCAGATAAGACATTGTGCTTCAGAACAGCTCGTCTGGCTGCCTGGGAAGAATGTTAATAACAAAATCTCCACTTGACAAATTGCATTTTCATTCGGGGGCATCTGCTGGGATACCTGGAGACGTGGTGGGGGGTTTTGAAGTGATATGAAACTAGTCAATGAAAAAAACTGTTCTCTGAGCTTTGCAGAGAGGGGCAAAAAACTCGGCTGTGAAGGTATTTTCTACAAGGGAGGGAGGAGTCGGGGGTTGGTGGGGTTTTAATTATTTTCAGGAGAGCAGCAGCCCTGCAGCTCAGCTGGTGTAAGCTGGGCTAAGCCCCAGTGACATCAGAGCATCTCCACTGATTTTCACCAGCCAAGGAGCCAACCCTCTAACTACTGATGGGATATATTTTGTCACGCTGGAGCCAAAGCACCCCCATCTTTTAATCTCAGCTCATGATGCTCCGGGAGGCTGACACAGCAATGTCAGCTCTAAAGGTTGGGGCAAGATGGAGCTGTGGGGAGGTTTGGTTTCACACTCGCAGTCGGCAGAGGGATGGAACCAAATTGTTTGAATCTCAGGCCTCTCTCCTGCACTTGTCCCAGTATCTAAGCTCTGTGTTATCCACACCGATCCTGTGGTAAGTGCCTCTAGTGGCAGGTCCACAGAGGAGCAGATCTTCATGTCTTATGGGGCAGCAAACTTTTGCTCAACCTTCCTGGGACCCAGGGCTGATTACCTTTAGGAGGAGGACAGCGATGAATGTGATGGTGAAGGTGATCATCACTTTGGCATACTCCTCGGAAGAAAACTTCTCACGGCTTGGGAGGAAGCTCTGAAAGGAAAGGGAAGTGCCCATAAAAGTCAGATGTCTTTAACCCAACACTAAGGGCTGCGTGGAATCAGTTGACAGTTTTGGTTTGATTCCTTGGAGACACATTCCTTGCTTCCCTGTTACTGGGGAAAGTTTTCATGACAAAGGATTAAACTTTCTGGTTCTGCTGAAGTGGAAGCATAGTGACCCTTAAGGGACAGGTTTAATTTCCTGTTGATAACCAGGTGTAATGTTTCCTGGCCTGTATCAGGACTTTTATTAACCCAGGTTGGATCTAGCCCTCTCTGACAGGAATATGTGTAATGACAGACTATGGGCAAAATTCCTTGCTCTCACGAGCAAAGGCAGATCTTGAGTTAGTCAACATTTCCCACACACCCCCAACAGAGAATTTCAACAAAAATGAAAAGTATCATCTGTATTTTCAATGGAAAATTTGTAGTTTTCAGGAAAAAATCAGGTCTCAAAATATTTCAGCCAAAAAAAAAATATTTTGGCCAAACAAATATTTTGATTCTGAAATGCTGATGCAGTGCCTTGTGGGTGCTATAGTTCAGGTGCCTCATGCTCCCACTCTCTTCAATATGCAGGGTTCATTGGTCAGCCTACATCTCTCAGGATGCACCATGCTGTGCCCTTTGTGTATATACATTTTTCAGATTTTGGCTGAAGTATTTATTTTTTTATTCTTTTGCCAAAATATTTCAGTTTTCAGATGTTCTATTTTTTAACCAAAAATTTAAAAAAAAATTTTTGCAGAAAGAAATAGAGTGTAATCAAAATCTCAATTTTCCATCAAAAAGAATTTTTAATGGAAATTGTCAACTAGCCCTAATATTTTCACTAAATTTTAACTCATGAATTTGTTATTTTAAAACCTGAGCCTAATCCATTGATATTAAAGGCACTCAGGGTACGTCTAGACTACATGGCTCCGTCGACAGAGCCATGTAGATTAGTGTACTCGAAAAAGGGAAATGAAGCGGCGATTTAAATAATCGCTTCTTCATTTACATCAAAATGGCTGCCGTGCTATGCCGATCAGCTGTTTGATGGCACAGCGCGGTAGTCTGGAGGCTCTGCGGTCGACAAGGAAAGCCCATTTCATGAGTCATAATGGGGCGGTTGACAAGGGCTTCCCTTGTCGACCATGGAGCATCCAGACTAGTGCTCTGTGCTGTCAAACAGCTGATCGGCACAGCGCGGCAGCCATTTTGATGTAAAAGAAGCAGCAATTATTTAAATCTCCGCTTCATTTCCTTATGTCTAGAAACCGTCGATGGAGCCATGTAGTCTAGACATACCCATAGACTTCTAGCTAAAATAGTCTTTGAGGGGGAGCCATGTTAGTCTGTAACTTTAAAAACAATGAGTAGTCCTGTGGCACCTTAGGCTAGATCTATACTAGGGGATAAGTTTGAATTAAGATACGCAATTCCAGATATGCTAACTGCATAGCTGGAGTCAAACTATCTTAAATCAAATTTTGGCGCCATCCACAGCAGGAGGCTGACAGGAGCACACTCTCCCTTCGACATCCCTTACTCCTCATAGGAGCAGGACTACCAGTGCCAACAGGAGCACCCTCTCGGTTCAAATTAGTGTCTTTTCACTAGACCTTCTAATTCAAACTCCAGAAAATCGACTGTGCCAGATTCAATCTTTCCTGCAATATAGACAAGTCCTTAGAGACTATCTAAAATATATAGAATCATGAGCTTTCATGGGTAAAACCCACTTGATCAGATGAATTGGAGTGGAAATAACAGAAACCAAGAGATATATAAATGTAAGCAGGGTCCGAATCAATGCTTCCATTACAGCCAGCTGGAATGGGAAAGACATCCTCGGTGTGTTTACATAAATGCAGTTTGCCCCTGTTTTGCTTAGATGTGTTAGATATTCAGCTGTTACAATCGTGTTTTACTCATTGTAATTAACTTGGCTGGTGTTGGGTTACAAAATGTGTTACTATTAATTGCAATGTCTGTTATTATTGTGGGAATACAAAATAAGAAAGTCTGTGCTTACCCTGGCACAAAGGAGGGAATCAGTGTCAGTTTAAAGAATGAGATTCTGTGCTTGTGCATGTGTACACAGTTCACTCAGTTTCTTAGGCCTGCTAGATATTCAAATAGAAACAGATTGACAGAACCAGACAAGTACCCAGAAGTCACCTATGTCAAGACAGGCCCAACAAGAAAAATAACAGAACTCCACTAGTCATGACCCACAGCCCCCAACTGAAACCCTTCCGGCTCATCATTGACAATCTACCCACTAAAGCTCATGATTCTATATATTTTAGTTAGTCTCTAAAGTGCCACAGGACTACTTGTTGCTTCTAGCTAAAGTTGAAGGTGTTTAATTGGTTTGCTGAGTAGGTATGGACTTGGTTTGTGTGTAAGTGCTTTGCTGTATGAGAGCCACAGTGGAGATATGTCCCGAGGAAGGCTGATTTCCAGCCTCCCAGTTTTGCAGATCTAATTTGCATACACAAAATTTGCTCTAGCAAAACAAATTGTGCTTTTAGGAAATAATAATTGCATGAGCAAACAGGGAATAGCACAGTTATGTTGATTAAAAAGTCCTACAGCTGTCCTTTGGCACTGAGCAGAACAAATTTGGGGATGTGACTTTAACATCAAGTATTAAATAAACATTTTTAATAACAGATGAAAACTGGTTGAACATTTTGCTGGTTTCCTTAATAAGCTAAAATTACTAAATAATAAAACATTCTGACACTCACTGTACAGACTCATGGTTGTCATTAATTTCTTACCTACCTCTTGGTTCACAGAGTGGAAGCTGAGATAGGCTGGGACCTCCATGTAGGAACTACAAAGAGTTAAGATGCTCAGGCAGAAATCAAGTATTTCCATGGTCAGGAAGGGAACCTTTGTGTGTGATTTCTACAGAGACAAAAATGTCAGAGTGAGCAAGGTTTTACATAAGAACGGACGTACTGGGTCAGACCAAAGGTCCATCCAGACCAGCGTCCTGTCTGCGGACATTGGCCAATGCCAGGTGCCCAGGAGGGAGTGAACAGAACAAGGAATCATCACATGAGCCCTCTTCTGCCATCCATTTCCAGCCTCTGACAAACAGAGGCTAGGGATACCATTCCTACCCATCCTGGCTAATAGTCATTGATGAACCTAACCTAACCTCCATGAATTTATCTAGCTCTTTTTGGAACCCCGTTAAAGTCCTGGTCTTCAGAACCTACTCTAGCAAGGAGTTCCACAGGTTGGCCATGTGAAGAAAAACTTCCTTTTGTGTGTTTTAAACCTGCTACCTATTAATTTCATTTGGTGACTGTTACATCTTATATTATGTTTTATGTTTGGTTATATGAAAGAACCATGCTCAGGGTTTTTCCTTAACTATAAAGGGATGGATTCTTCTTTGTCCTGCACTTGGGTCTTATTCTCATTTATGCCACAGCCCTTTTATGCCATTCTAGCAGTGCTATCAGAGCTTTACATGGCCTTAAGTTTAAGTTGTTCCTGAAGGTGCCTTTATTTTGCTGAGATGGTCTAGAGGTTATGTCTATACTGCGATTAGTATGTCATACTGTAAGGCAGTGGTCCCCAACCTTTTGAGGTTGTGGGCGCCAGGGGGCGTGGCCGTTCGCCCGCTGGGCGCCAGGGGGCGGGGACACTTGCGCGCCCGGGGGCGGCCCCATGGCCTTAAGTTTAAGTTGTTCCTGAAGGTGCCTTTATTTTGCTGAGATGGTCTAGAGGTTATGTCTATACTGCGATTAGTATGTCATACTGTAAGGCAGTGGTCCCCAACCTTTTGAGGTTGTGGGCGCCAGGGGGCGTGGCCGTTCGCCCGCTGGGCGCCAGGGGGCGGGGACACTTGCGCGCCCGGGGGCGGCCCCCCCCATAGTCGCTTGCCCGGGAGTGGCCCCCCCCCGCTTCACCCCCTCCCCCCCGCAAGCGCTGCGCGCCCGGGGCCGATGCTCCCCGCAAGCGCCGCGCCATGTGCCCGGGGCCAGGCCAGCCCTGAGCACCTGGCGGGCGCATGCACCGTGTTGGGGACCACGGCTGTAAGGTATGTCTACATTGCAGTCAGAAGTGTGATTGCAGCCGTGGTGACATACCCACACTAGCTTTCATCTAGATAGCTTTGGTGACAAAGCAGTGAAGCCATGGCACCTTGGGGCTATGTCTAGACTGCAAGCTTCTTACAGAAGAAGCTTTTCCAGAAGAGATCTTTAGGAAAAGCTTATTTTGAAAGAAAGCGTCCACACAACAAAAGCGGAATAAAAAAAGCATTGAGGAGGGGGATAGCTCAGTGTTTGAGCATTGGTCTGCTCTATCAAGGGTTGTCAGTTCACTCCTTGTGGGGGGCCATTTAGGATTCTTGGGCAAATCTGTCAGGGATGGTACTTGGTCCTGCTTTAAGGGCAGGGGGCTGGACTCAACAGCCTCTCAAGGTCCCTTCCAGCTCTCTGAGATAGGTATTTATTTATCGGATGCTATCTTGCATTTAAGTTGTGATTAGTGTGGAGAGAGTGGCCACCAGGGCACCTGTGTTAGTTCCTGGAGGCCTCTTCTTTCAAAAGAACTCCCTCTTCTGCATCCACACATGCCTTTTTCCCAAAAAGCTTTTTCGGAAAAAGGCTTCTCCCTCGTAGAAAGAGGTTTACCACTGTCAGAAAAAACCCTCTGTTCTTTTGACTTTCTGTGGACATAAGTATAGTTTTTCCAGAAAAATGCTGCAGTGTAGACATACCCTGGATGTCATCATGGGCTATACAATACCCTGGGACTCTAGAGACACACTTGCTCAGCTGGGCCATGCTGCCACAGCCTCACTGCTATACTTACTGGAGCTAGGTAGATCAGCGCTAGCTTTGTGATGACTTCACATGCATCAATTACACCTCTGACTGAAGTAGAGCCATACCCTTTCTGCTAACGGAGAGCTAATCTCTGGCATTACTATTGACACCAATGCAAAGTGGATGTAAAATTTTGTGGTTTACCATCTTACCCTTTGCACTAGGGCACCTGATGGTACAAGGGGCGAGGGGTAATGGTGGTGTATCAGGCCTGTCACCTATAAACATTTTTTAAAATAGTCTAGAAAGTGTAATACATTCTCAGGCCAAATTTTTTCAGACTTAGGGTTCATCTAGACTGCGGGTTTTTTTCCAAAATAACTGCACTTATGTCAACACGGCTACTGCATTCTTTCAAAAGAAAATCGAAAGAACATTGGGGGGTTTCTGACATTGGTACACCTCATTCTATGAAGAAGAACGCCTTTTCCAAAAGAGCTCTTTCAGAAAAAGGCATGTGTGGACGCGGAAGAGGGAGTTTTTTCAAAAGAGGCCTCCAAGAAGAAGCACAGGTGCCCTGGTGGCCACTCCATCCATAGTAATCACAACTTAAATGCGAGATAGTGTCCATTCCGTGTGGATGCTATCTTTTGAAAAAGCAGATCGGTTTTTCGATGCACTTTGGTAGTGTGGATGCTCTCTTTTGGAAGAGCTTCTTCTGAAAGAAGCCTGCGGTCTAGATGTACCGTTGGGGAGTTAGTGCTAATATTAGGCAGCAAAATCCATATTTAGGCATCCAACAAGTGGGCTGAATATCATGCAAAAATACAGCTTTCAAAGCTTCTGGATGGCTGATGATGGAAGCTGCTGGCTTTCACTGCCTCTGAAAATTGTGGCTGATTTTGGTATCTAAATATGTTTGATGCTTATGGCCTCAAGTCTGACTCTTGACCAGAGATGAAACGTGTATTTAGTTACCAATGGCATGAGAGGAGAATTTATCACTACAGTTTCCCTTTAAAGGACTGACTAGAATGACCTCAGACCTCTCAACTGTGCATCGCCTTAGACACAAATGTTCCCCTGGGCCAACCCTCAACCAGTTGTCACTTCAGTTTTATTACGGTAAATAAAGTTCATCTCGTACGATGAATCAGGCAAGTGAGCTTCTCGGAAATGTGATCGATATTAAATGAATGATTCCTGCAGCGAGGCAGAGTTTCCACTTACACAACGTTGGGAGATTAGCACTGGACTCTGGGCCCCAATGAGTCCAAGGGCAAAACACCTGCTGAGTTTGGTAGGGCCAGACATTCACCCTTCATTCAGATAGCCCACCAAGTATCCTGCTTGGGACGCCACGTCCAATCAGATCACTAGCGTATCTGCCTTAGGTATTTATACAGCCCCATGACAGTATCATGGGAACGCCTCATCATGGTTTCAATGTATTCATCCTGTGAGGAAACACTCCATGGCAAAGGGGGAGCTGAGTCACAGAGAAACTAAGTGACTTGCCCAAGGTGACACAGAACATCTATGGCAGAGCAGGGGTTCAAACCCTAAATCTCCAGGTGATGCTCCTAACCACTGGACAAGCCTTCTCAACCTCTAGAGCCTTTGTCTAATCCATTATGTCTAGTATCCTGCCCCCAGGGTTGGCCCATCATGAGGTACCCTAGGAGAGCTAAGCCACTCCATATATAAAGCTAACCCAGTAGGATGCCTGATCATTCATGCCTGGAGTCTCCATCACATAGAGTACTATAGATCTGAGCCCTGGCAGCCTGAATTGGGGGCTCATGCTTGTTACTTACCACATGGCTAATGGACATAAATGACAGCATTTCAGGGACCTGGATGTAGGAGCTGAAAATTGTGAAGAGGGTGAGGAGAAAATCCATGATTTGCAAAGCCAGGAATGGAATCAAGAGGCGTTCCCTGTTCTGTGAGAGAGAGAGAGAGCAGGCAACTGCATATTATTATTCAAGTGTGATCATTTAGTTTAGAAAGAGCTGATCTAGTGCCAATGTGCTGTTATAAGTAGGAAAATTCATATACACCAGTGGTCCCCAACACGGCATTTATGTGCGCCGGGCTAGCGCTGCCCCACTCGCACTGCTGCCGTGCCGCTTGTTGTTGATTTCAGCCCCTCCCCCCATCTATCCCCTTCCCTCCGGCCTCTTGTCTAATCAGCTCCAGGAGAGCTCGGGAGACCCTCCACCTGCTCCACGAGGAGCTTGGACCCTGGCGCAGGCAGCGCCCCACCCAGCGCTCTGCCTCGCTCCTGTTCCCAGGTGTTTGTACAGGGCTGCCAGCCAGCTGCACTACCACGCCGGCCCCTCCGCACTTCCGCAGCCCCCCTGGGAGCTGCTGGCCACAGAATCCCTTGCACCAGCTGCAGGCGAGCCCTGGCCTGGCGGCTCCTCTCTCTCCTCTTGCAGGGGAGGGGCGCCTGTGGTGCCCCGTTTCACATCGGGGAAAGTTGTGTACAGCTGCAGAGAAAGGGAAGTAGGGGGACCCGTGACACTTTTCACCTCTCCCCCAAAGTGCTCCGACATTTCCGCGCATGCTGTGGGGAGGGGACACAAGGATTTGGTGGGGAGAGGGAAAGGAGACGGAATTCGGTCATTGGGGGGAGGTGGGAGAGGGGAGCAAACTGGGTCTGGTTGGGATCTGGTTTGGCTGGGAGGGAAGAGGGTACAGGGTGGATCAGGTGGGGGAGAGAAGAGGGGTGGACTGGGTCCAGTCACTGAGAGGTCGGGTTTGCCTAGGAGGGGAGAGAAGGTAGAAATTGGGTTCCGGGCATGCATGTGGGGGGGAGGAGTCGGGATGTGTGTGGGCAGGGATGTGTATGGAGGGGAGACAGGACGTAGGCTGGGTTTGGCCGGAGAGTGTGGTGGGAGTCAAAGAGAAAGGGGCGCTTTCCTCCTCAGTGCCTGTCCTGGGGGGCGACCAAAAAATGTTTTGCTTGGGGCAGCAAAAAACCTAGAGCCGGCCCTGGCCCCACCTCAGTGCCTGTCCTGGGGGGGCGGCCAAAAAAATGTTTTGCTTGGGGCAGCAAAACACCTAGAGCCGGCCCTGGCCCCACCCCCGGGTGCGCGGCCTATGCGCAGCCCCTCCCCCGGGTGGCCCTGCCCCCAGGTGGCCCAGCAGCCCCGCGCGGCGCCCACCACCCAAAAAGGTTGGGGACCACTGATATACACACACCTCTGGCAGGACACTTCACCTCTAGATCAAGAGACCAGTGTGATAGGCATGTTAGAAATCTGCATTATAGACATTAAAGCTGATCAAAAATGGCTTTTGGTTTTTTAATATGGAAAATGTAGTTTTACTTTTCAGCCTGAATGCTGAAATATTTCATTTGGGAAATTCTGCTGCTTTGCCTGATGGGATTCTAGTTTGGGTGCCTCAAACCGCTGTTCTCCTCTGTCGGCTAAGCTCCGTAGTCAGACTATATCTCCCATGACTCACTGGAGATGGGAAGACGAAGCCCTGGCTGGGTTGATTGAGTTGGGTTGGTCCTGCTTCGGGCAGGGGGCTGGACTCGATGACTCCTGAGGTCTCTTCCAGCCCTGGGATTCTATGATTCTATAAGACGGCCACATCATGGGAGTGTGTCGTCTGACCAGCCCATATAGAAAAACAATGGCCATTGGGCAGCATTTGCACATCACAATATTTGGGGGGTTAGCTGAAATATTTCATCAAAAAATCTTAACTGTCAGTGGGAAGCAGACTCTTGGTATGATAAAAAAATCAAAGAAAACCCAATTTCCATCAAATACAATTTTAAAGTAAAATTCCCCCCTAACTGTAGTAGGCATTTCCAGACTCTGAACAAGTTTGTGATTGACCAGATCAATGGGTTTAAAATGATAGATAACCTTCCACTGCACCATGCCCTCAAAAACAAGATTAAAGGCCATTTGACAATGACGTACCTTCACCACTCCATAGAGAAGACAGAAGCTGGTGATAAAGAGCATGATGATCAACAGGAAGCTGGTGGTGACATCCGCTAATAAAAAATAATAATATTAAATCCTAAAGCAACACAGTAACATTTTAAATCATGGGCCAAATCGTCTCACTCAATCACCACTCAATGGAAATTTTCACTGAGCTAAGGGCAGAAGGATTTGGTTCCATAAGCCAAAGCTTTTCCTTCACCATAATGACATCCCCTTGTAGGACTGAACACAAGACCCGCACTGTTAAATCCAGTTGCTCCGTCCCAACTAAAGAAGTAGCTCTGCTAGGTGCCACCAGTTATAGGCTCATACCCTCATGTGCAACAGTTGCTAGCCAGAGACATGGCACAGTTAAGCAGAGAATTCTATAAAGCTCTGTTGTCGGTGGAAGATAAATATTTTGCAGATGTTAGGCTATGCAAATTGTCTCCCAAAGCAAGTAACAAAGCCGCCATCTTGGAGGACATTTGCTTCTGGGTTGGATGGACACTGGAGAAGAGACTGAAAATCCTTATAGGGTCTTTTCATATTTAACTTCTGTAATTCTACAGACTAAGACTCACTCCTGGGCATTGCTGTCTTGGCTCTTCCTACACTCATTCAGAAGCCTGTTCCTGTGGTTTGTACTTCAGGGGGTGTGAATGTATGGAACCATGTCTCATTTGCCCCCAAACACTCCCACATGAAGGATCAAATCTGCATCCACTGAGCCAGACCGGAGTTTCTATCCATGCTGCAGAATTCTCCCTTCCACTTCCTATGGCAGGTCTGCTGTAGGTGCAACAATGGCCCATGGTGTGCTACAGAAACAACAATGCCCCCCTCTTCCTTTAGCAGGCTTTTGACTTTGGGATCCTGCCTCCCACTCGCACTAGGGCATCTGGCTGGTGAGTAGTCATAGAATCTCTAACCATGCTTCCTGCCCTCCCCCAGCCTCAGACCTACACTGAAAGTTGCCATGGGAGACCTCTGTTCATATCTGGGGAGGAAACCCTCCTCCCCCGCACAGCCTGTCCACTTTGCTTGGGGATTTTTTTGCTGTGGATGAAAGCTTCCCCAGATTGGGGGGTGGATCTCACGAGACTGCTTCCGTCTGTGATTTATACATACCTGCTGGCAAATGAATAAACATGCTATATGGGGCTCTCTCTCTCCCATCTGTCTGTATGCATCACTGCTTGCTCCCGCGGCTGAGTATCCCAGAGATACCCAGGAATTTCATAAGCAGGGAGATGTATGCTATGAAATAAATGTCCTCTCTCATTGCAACTGTGATATAAACAGCGTACGCCTTGGCGGTCTGATGAAGTCTACACTAGGCCTTGGCAACCATCCCAGGGGGACCAATAAAAAAGCCGGTTTTATTTGCCAAATGTGTATTTTGATTAACTGCTGGCCACATCAGAGTTTGTGTGTTGAATGTAGCTAGAAGGGGCGTTGAATGACTCCTAATGTTTCTCTTGAATGCAAAGAGGCCTGTTTCTGTTTTATGGCCCCATAAACTGGCCTGGGGAATGCGATTTTAATAGTCATATTTGCTGATTACTAGGGATGGAGATGTAGGTTCTTGGGCTGCTGATACACTGCGGAGTGCCACTCCTGACCAGCAGGGCTTAAAGACGGGGCAGAATTGGTAAGCGAAATAAACCCAATGGTCCTTTCAGTGTGTTCCATTTCCAGTGCCGGCGATTTGGGCCCATATGACAAAAACCACTCTCACCATTCTTCCTGCATACCTCTGGCCCTTCCCTTGGGTGATTCCAGCAAGATTGTGATGACAACCCCAGTCAATATTGCCACACTGAGACAAGTTTATATATTAATTAAACAAAACCAAAGGAAATTGATTCACTGCCAATGGAATAAAGGTATACTATAGAGCTGACCTTTCCAAGAGGCACAAAGGCCAAATAATTCCCACTGAAAGACAAAAGATTAGGGCACCTGGTCCTATTTACACCTTTGAAAATCTCCCTTGATGAAGTTAAGATTGTCACTCCGCCCTTCTCTTCCACTATTGTTTATTTCATATTTGTGTAGTGCATGAAATCATACAACATTAGACATACACAACTTGGAGCTGCAAAGCTTCTGAGAATGATAAAGATATTAAAAGTTTAAATTCTAATGTATGCACTTTTGGAGTTTCTCCCATAGTTGAGTCTTGTGGGAAACCAAAAATTAAAGGGGTGTGAATTTGATTAATAGGAAATGGTAAAGAGTTTGACAACATTCTAGGGTATTAACACAATCCAGTCTGCTGCAATATATACACTGGGGCCAGCAGGACGAATAGAGGACAAGTGAGAGAAACATTTTTGGGAAAAAATAATCCTATATTTGAATTCAAGGTGAGCATTTTGAAGTGTTTAGACACATTGTTTTCACTTCTAGTTTCTGGAACTATAAAGGCTGATCTTTGTGATATTTCCCAATATTATTGGAAAAAGAAATGCCTGAAATCTCACGAGGAGAGCTCCGTGAAAGATTTTTGATGCATCCTGGAATCTAAAAGTGTTTTAGGGTACATCTACACAGCACCCTAAACTCAATATAAGATACGCAATTTGTGCTATGCAAATTGCATATCTTATTTTGATTGTATTTAGAAATAGCTTATTTTGAAATTTGGCGTGTCTACATAGTGCCAAATGTTTAAATAACACGCTATTTTGAGACATCCCTTAACCCTCGTGGAATGGGGGTTAAAGGGATGCTGAAAAAGCACACCTGTTATTTCGAAAAATATGTCAAAATATTTTGAAAAATACTTTGAAATAATGGACGCATTTAAAATATGCAGGGTAGCTATTTTGGGATACCGGAGGTATCCCAAAATAGCCCCTCTGTTTAGATGTATCCTTAGGGTGTGTCTAGGCTACTGAGTTTTGTCGACAAAAGTGGACTTTTGTTGACAAAACTATACCTGCGTCTACACTACTGCTGAGTTCTGTCGACATAACATCAACAGAACTCAGCAGTTTTGTCGACTCTGGTAAACCTCATTTTACGAGGCATAACACCTTCTGTCGACAGAGTTCTGTCGACAGAAGGTGTTATTGCCTGTAGGGTTGCGTCTAGACTACAGGGTTTTGTCGACAAAGCAGCATAGAGCATCTAGACACATTCAGTTCTGTCGGCAAAGCAAACTGCTTTGTCGACAAAACCCTGTAGTCTAGACGTACCCTTAGATTGCATTGGAAATCTGCAAAATACAGCACCTGTGGAAAGGAAGGATGAGTGGAGGGAATACATACCAAATTTCATTTTTTATAGTTATTTTGTTAAAAAATCACTGTTTTCACCCCAAATCATTATAGTTTTAGAAGAAATCTCAAGGTTTGTGAAATTCAGTATCTAGCTTGTATAACAATCCATTTTTGCATGGAAATGTCATTAAAAATTAAAATCTCACAGTTTTTCTACTGGCTAAAACTGTTCATTTAATTCAGGGGCTGTAAAATGTGAAATGTATCATCATTCAGTTATTTTTTTCATTAGAATTGGAAACAAATCATCATTTTTATACATCACTTGTAGGAACATTTTATATTCCATTCTACAGTAGCCCAAACAATTTTGCTGCACAGAATATACACGTATATTTACAACAGTGCTGGCAAATATGAGAGGTAGCATTGGCTGAAAAAAAAATCAAAATTGTAGAAGTTGTCTACTAGTTTTTCAAATGTCATCCCACCTCACAATGTTAACATTGAAAATTTTGAAAACTGTTTTGATAATTAATTTTTTTAATCAGCTCTTTAGCTAATAAAAAATCATAAGATTAAAAAAATACTCTTGTTTTGGTCAAAAATTGCATTTTTGTGGACACACATAATTGAAACTTGAAATTCAGAAATATTTTATCCATCTCAGGGCCGTTATAAGATTTAATCAATTAATATTAGCTAGGGGGTTTTGTGATCTGTGTTTGAAAAGCTCTCTCCACTTATACAAAATAAGCACAGGATCTTCAGGGGGCATCTGAAGAAGTTGGGCTGTGCCCACGAAAGCTCATGATACCATCTGCATGTTTTGTTAGTCTATAACGTGCTACCAGAGCATCTGGTGTTTTTTAAGTTTATCAAGCACAGGATTATTACTCTTTACAATCTGGTTTAGGTCCTTACATGGGTCATGGTGTAGTATTTTCATAGATTCTAAGGACAGAAGGAACCACTTCAGTTCTCTAGTGTAATTTCAAGTGTAACACAGGCCATAGGACATCCTGGAATAAATCCTGCTTTAACCTGAGAATGTATAATTTAAAAATCAAGACTGGATGCTTTTCACTTTCAAGCAATGGTGAATCCCCACAGCCCTTGCTAAATTGTTCCAATTGTTAATTACCCTCACTGTTTAAAATGTGTACCTCATTACTAGTTCAAATTTATCCCTGCACAATCCTTAATGTAATTATTGTGAGGTAGGGCACTGCTATTGTCAGGGGAACTGAGGCACAGAGTAAGTGGCTTGCCATGGTCATGCAGGAAGACTGTGGCCAAGTGTGGAACTAAACCTAAATCTGCTGAGTTTAGGCATTTGGGGGTCAAATGCATGAAAAGACTCTGAGGTTCCAGATACAATGATAACAGAGGCCATGTGAGTGCCCTTAGATAGAGAGTGCTCAGAGCTAGCACCCGCACAATCTAACACTGCGAGGCTGGGCCTTAGAGGCAAAGTGCAGACTGAACATTTCTGTCTTCTCTCTGTTGCCTTGTCCTCCCCTCATTTGTTTCTTGTATCCAGTGTAGACACAGCCCATTTGTTTTCTCAAATGCAGTATATTGCCAGTGACAGCACTGTCTGCATGTGTCTTACAAGGAGCCTGATTCCCAGCTCAGAAGCTTTATCCAGAACTGTGGTTTTACTCTGAAAAGTGACTGTGCAAAAACGGCAGCATGTGTTTCCAGACGCACCTCTGCATAGTTTCAGATGAAATCAGCTCAGGTTGGTGGGTAAAAGTGGAAGTGGTGCCCATCAAACTCTCCCTAGACTCTGACTGTCAAGATGGGTCTTTCCTGGCCCAAACAATGAGGCTGTGTCTACACTGGGCCACTTATTCCGGAAAATCAGCCGCTTTTCCGGAATAAGCTGCGAGCTGTCTACACTGGCCCTTGAATTTCCGGAAAAGCAACGACGCTCAACTGTACAAAATCAGCCGCTATTCCAGAAAAACTATTCTGCTCCCGCTCGGGCATAAGTCCTTATTCCGGAACACTGTTCTGGAAAAGGGCCAGTGTAGACAGCCCAGTAGTCTTTTCCGGAAAAAAGCCCCGATTGCGAAAATGGCGATCGGGGCTCTTTTCCGGAAAAGTGCATCTACATTGGCCACAGATGCTTTTCCGGAAAAAGGGTTTTTCCGGAAAAGCAGCCTGCCAGTGTAGACGCTCTTTTTCCGGAAATACTTATAACGAAAACTATTCTGTTTTAATCAGTTCCGGAAATTCATTTTTTACCCTCTCCTGAACTGCTGGACAGTGCTAAGAGCTGTGTAATGGGGCAGTCAGGTCTGGCAGGCAGCTGGGAGAGCAAGAGGCTAAGGGACCAGAGAGACCGGAGAAGAGGGGAAGGTGAGTTGGAGACAGTGTGGGAAGGGAAGGGAGAGTATTAAAGAGGATGCTGGGCTTGAGGGCACAGGCTCCAACTCTGTGGTATTATGGCACTGCAGAATCCATGAAAGAGAAAGGGTGCTCAGCACCCATCAGCCACAGCTGTTTGGCAGCGCCCCAATCAGCTGCTTTGTGGTGGCGCTGATAGTTGTTTGGCAGTGCTTCCAAACAGCTCTTTGGTGGTTGGGGGAGGAGTCTGAGGAAGGGTGAGAGCAGCAAGTGGGGGGCAGGAAGAGGCCTGAGGAAGGGTCTGAGAGGGGGCAGGAAGAGGTGAAGTGAGGGCAAGGACTTGGGGGCAAGGAGCCAAGTGGGGTGTTGCCTCTGGGCAGAGTAGGGATGGAACAACCTGGGGAAAAATAAAAGTCAGCACCTGGGACTGAGGTGATGTTAAAGGAACGTGGGTGGGGAAGGGAACCCAGCTGAGGCAAGCGGGGCCCAGGGAAGCCAGGAGATGTGCGGCGTGCTGCAGAGTACAGAGCAACCGTCTGCCCAGAGCTGGCTGAAAACAAAGGGAAAAGTGCAATTGATTTGAATGGACTTTGGATTAGGCTCCAAAAGGCAAACATGGCAACTCGTTCTTGTCTTTATAATGGGCTGAACAAACCCCCTGGATCCAAACAATCCAACTCTGGAGCTGGCTCTGAGGCCCCTCTGCTCTGAGTGCCAGCGTCTGGTGCCTGGTTTGAAGGAGATTTGGAGAAGGAACAACCTCAGATTAGACACACCCTCTCAACACAGCCCTCTCAGCTTCCCCTCTGGCTTCTCCTTCCCACCACCTACCGATTACGTAGTAATCCTTCTCCAGGACTTTGCAGTAACTGCTCCCAGTAGCCACCTCCAGCGAGTACTCAGTCAGGAGCAGTATGCTCATGACCTGGAAGAATGAAAGCAGAGGAGACGGTTAGGCAGCCTGCCTGCCAATTTCTTATCAACCAGTTCCCAGGGCTCATTACTGCTTAGAATTCCTACAGCACACACTGCCTCTGGGTCTCCAAGTGCTCCACAACCATTAATGGATTGAAACTGCTCTGGGAGAGGCCGAGGGGGAACTGAGGCACAGAGCGATGTCACCGCCGCCAGCTCACAAAGCAGAGGAGACGGTTAGGCAGCCTGCCTGCCAATTTCTTATCAACCAGTTCCCAGGGCTCATTACTGCTTAGAATTCCTACAGCACACACTGCCTCTGGGTCTCCAAGTGCTCCACAACCATTAATGGATTGAAACTGCTCTGGGAGAGGCCGAGGGGGAACTGAGGCACAGAGCGATGTCACCGCCGCCAGCTCACAG